GTCTGTTGCAAGACAGGTCGGTTTGTTTGCGTCAAAGATGCGCACACCTTTCTCAATCTCATTGGCAATGACGGTCTTGGATTCTTGAAACAAGCGTTCCAGATTGTCATCCCAACGAAATGGTGTCCCAGGCTTTAGAAGTTGACGAAAAGACTGCATCCTCTCAGCCATGCTGAATGCGTATGACACTTGATTGATAAGTCCAAACCAAGAATGCATGTCCGGTATGTTCTTTGGTGTAGGAAAGTCCATGATGGCTTGTAGCTACTTCAAGCAAGGTCGAACACTGGTACGAGTAATCTCAAAGCCTGCAAACTCCACGGTGTCTTGTGCAAAAGTGAACTTTTCAGGGTTTAAAGTAATGCCATTCCTTCCACAGATGTCAAGCCAGTTACATGCCTGGAAGAAGGATTTCTCAATGTCTTCAGCCCACAGGAGTGCGTCATCCACACACTTGGTTTTGTTTGGCACATCAGACACAATCTCGTCAAAGCGTCTTGTGTACCCATCTCCGGAGGCGATATATCCTTGTGGAGCAGTGCGATATCTATATCGGCCCCATGGGGTGATAAATGTGGTAAGGTGTTTGTCCTCATCTCGAATGGGGACACTGTGGTAACCATTCCACGCATCGAAGACAGATTTCTTCTTATTCTGTGGCACTGATCTGGCTTGGTGGAAGGGGAATTGTGTGTGATGTGTCTCTCTAATGGCATGGGCATTGAGAGCCTGAAAGTCAACAGTGCGTCGCGGCTTGCCATTCTTCTTTGGACAGACGACCATTCTGTGGCACCATGTAACCGGTTCTCTTATTTGCACTGGCTCCAGCACACTTAGTCTGACATCCTGGTCTAGTCCGGCTTTGACGTCTTTCTGCCAGTGAAGTGGGACAGGGACAGGAGTGTGGTGAGAAACAGGCTGGGCGTCCAGATCGACCACCAGTTTCATGGGAGGTCCATCCATGAGGGGGAGAGGTTGGTGCTCGCAGATGTTGAATGTGCTGGACTTATAGAGGTCAAGTAGGTATTCTTCCAGTTTACCGCAGTTCTCTTCTGTTGCGGGGAAAGGTAGTTTGGTTGGCAATTTAGGAGGTGGTCCACGCTTTGGGCAGTCACATTTCACATCATTTATCTCTGAAGCATCGCTTAGTGTAGAATCATAATTGAAGCTGTCATTTCTGGGCACTTCCCCAATTGTGGGAAAATTTCCTGTGATCATCCCCAGTGAGATACAAACCTCACGACTGAGGAAGAACTTGTCAGAGTTGTCTGTGATATAGACCACCTGTCTTGTTTCAATTGTTTTCCCTGTTGGGCTCCTGCCATACAGCCGTGTGATGAGGGCACCAAGGATATTGATGCCCCTGTTATTGGCAGCACGCATCTTGAGAGTCACCGGAATGAGATTCTGTGTTTTCAGTCAGAGTTTGTGTGTGATCTTAATGCCAGCAAGGCAGCTCTGATAACCTGTGTCTGCCATGACGACAACAGAGGCTCTTCTTGGTCTTGAGGATAACATTGAGCCAAAGCCTAGTCTGTCATAGTCTTCTGCATGGACAGCCATCGATAGGCTGAGGAAGGGCTGGGGCCGGGGGGCTTGTTTAGTCCATGTGTCCGTCAGCTGATCATATAGGTGGTGATCAAGGTGAAGTGTCTTCTTTCCTTGGTGCCAGCTGATGTCAGTGAGTGAGCAGAGCATGTCAAAGACCGCACCTTCATTTTCCTCAACCGTCCGTGGAGGCTTCTCAGCTCTCAGTTTCACTTTGCTCTGGCACACTGTGTCAAAGTGATTGTAGCGGTTACAGGATGAACACATGCGACCGAAGGCAGGACAGTGTTTTTTCCTGATTTTCAGGGATGCACTTTTTCCATGCCCCTTTCTTCCACAGTAGAAGCATGACTCGGACGTATCCAGTTTCTTGGATGAATTAACAGCTGTGTTCTTGTTTCTTTGGTAGCCACTGCTAACATCTTCCACAGACTGGGAGTCCAGAAGTCGAGATGCCGAGCGTTTGCCTGATTCCTTGGCTTCCACAAATTGAAACACCTGTTCGAGATTCATGTCTTGGTTCTTGTCTCCAAGGAGATCTAACTGGATCTCAGGGTCATTTAGTCCACGGGTGAGTACATCGCGTAGGATTGTCTCTGTGTAGTTCACCTCCCGGTGGCATCCTGGACATGCAATGGTGAATTTTCAGACGCCAGCCTGACCTCTTAGCCTTGCACCGTAGGAGCGAACAGTTTCATCTCGATCCTGCATCATGCTGTGGAGGGTAACGCGAGCTACCATGGTGTTCTCCTCTCTGACAGCAAGGAGTCTAATGGCCTTCAGGACATCTTCCTCGGATTTTTCTGTGAGGGATCCGCCAGCCGAACGTGTGAGATCTCTGCGCAGTGTCTCGTCAACGCAGAAGCTGTACAACGCGGTCCTTCCCTGTGACCTTGGTCGCCTGGACATAGTCTTTCCATCTGGATTTAAAGTATGACCAATCCTCGCTTGTTCCAGCAGATGATATGCTTGGTCGTTTCACTTTTTCTACTTTTGCAGAGATGGCAGGTCCTGTAGTGTGGACTGTTGCATGGGCTGTTAAGAGTGCTGCTACCACCACAGAATCAAGGTCTTCCGTCACGAAGTCGCATGACGGAATAGGGCATCCAATGACTGGCATGTTTGTGTCTTGAAACTGTAGGTTAGAATCTCTAATGTACCAAGTTGCAGAGGTGAAAGATCTCCATCATAAATAAGTAGGCAATACTTTTTACAGATGACTGTTTATTCACGGTCGATCATAAATGATGGAGATCTGCAATGAGAGTAAACACATCATGTATAACATGGATAATTAAATAACATATAATCCTCTATAGTGCAGGGAATTAACATTATGTTCAGGACCAACATCACCAGCAAGTAATTCCGTGATGAAACTTTGCAATTGGTTGAAATATGCAGCATTAAATGGCCACTCGGTATCAACATGATTGCTGAACATATACATACATGTATATAAGAGTGGAGTGGACATATGTCATAGCTTGTGGCAGTTACGTCATAACTCAGTGATAGGCCAAGGTTCCTTCTCGAAACGTCATTCGTCCTATACCGTTTTCCAAACCTGAAAGTCGTCCAAATATCTCACAGACAACAATAATCCTATTATCGCATAGTGTGATCCTGCAGGCTGGCATCGCCTACAGCTAGAACTGACCCCTCGTGATGGTCGATACATTTGGGGATTTTTAGACCATTCCTTAGCAGCTAGAACTGGTCATGATATTGAATTCCACGATGCTCACTATCTCACAGCATTTGTACCCATTGATTCCTTGACGAATAAGAACATTCCACTACTCCTTTTGTCAGCTACATCCCATATGTGTACAGCTATATGGAACTGGGACGTTGGGTGTGCCATCATCGTATAGCAAATACAATTTGGACCCTTTGCACGAGTAAGACTGTGAGCTTAGTTTCACGCCACTTTTAGCAATATTCCAGCAATATCACAGCGGGGGACACCAGAAGTGGGCTTCACACATTGTACCCAAGTGGAGATTCGAACCGGGTCTTCGGCGTGACGAGCGAACGCTTTCACCACCAGGCTTAAACATCCCCCCTTTACCCACCCCCATGCATGAAGAGTGACTCCGGGTTTAGGGGATACAACTAGTCCATTCATAAATATATTACTACCCTTCAGATGTTTAGACTCACTTAAAGCACTCACTATATGTTATGTATATATATGTGGTTACATCGAAGATGAATTTCTCCCCTAACTTGGGGGAACCAACTGCAAACCTTATGCAGATGAGACGCATGAAGATCATGCATCAAATTGCTGAAAAGCATGTGCAAATATCGTGCAGCTGCGTTTTGGTGTAAAGTTTTCTTAGGAATTTGCCAATTTTCACTGAGTTTCATCATTTATTGAACCCATGACAATAATCTTTTCAACGTTACGAATTTGTTTTACAATACATCAGTTCATGTGTAAACGGTACCTTTAAACAGTATGGAATATTTTGCAAAATCTAGTTTAGAACAGTTGACTGAAGTAAGGGACCGTTCATTATTTATGGCTAGGGGAGATGATGATGATTTTAAGGGGGGTCACCCATTCTGTTCTGGGCAGCTAGGGGGGTCATCAATTTTGTACACGTGTACTAGGGTGGGGTTAGCAATTCTGTACATAAAATATTTTAATATTATGCTTAGAAATTATGGGAAGGGGTGGTGGTAGGGGGGGTGTCATTGATTTTGTACATGGCATACAGGGGAGGGTCACATATTTTGTACGTAAATTTTAGAGGGGGGGTGGTCATTCACATTGTACATGCTTCCCCATAAAATCATCATCAACCCCTCAGCCATAAATTATGAACGGTCCCTAAGTGGCTACATTTACTCTAGTGAGTCTAAACTTTTGATGGGTAGTATATTTAATATAACACTGGATGGTAAGAGATCATTACCCTCGTGACCTTCCTTATCGTAAAAAGCATATTTAAAGAACAAGAAAATGTCCTCATCAGTAATTAACGTGGGTACAACTACAGCCTAATGCATAATTTATGTATATAGATGTATGTGTGTGCGTGCGTGCGTGCGTGTGTGTTTTATTGTATCCAGTTTTGCCTCTTTCCCTTTCTTGGATCTTGACACGAAGAAAACTTCTCAGCAGGTTCGATTCACCAACTATACGATTGTTACAGAAAGATTATGATATACCCCTTTATCAATTCGGAGAGGTGAATTTAACCATTGTCTGTCTGTCATTGAGGCGTGTTTATGTGATTAAATATTGGAATGACGCATGCAATACATTGTTAAAAACATGTTGTGGTGTGAACCCTCTAGTCTCTCGAACATGAACTTCGTTCACGGCTATTTCTAAGATGCTTTGGGATTCCCCTGTTCTATTTACAGACCGGAAATGACGTTTTACGACGCGGGAAAATTGGTTACATAAATATCACTTTGTACAAAATGCATCTTTTTTATTCCACCCATGTATAATATTAGGCATGCGTTATGTAGTTTACGTCTGTTGATTAACATACGTAAATGTAGTTGTGCTGGATCATCACGTGTCGGCGGTTCGCAGTGGGCGTGCCACGATTTCGGACGTGCATGCCTGTTTGACAACATTCAACTTGAGGCAGTTGAGCTTTGTCAGGGTTTAGGTTGTAGCTGGAATTTGTTGCGAGCTGGCAAGACTTGTGAATGCATTGCCTGGTGCAGCATACGGTAGGATGTCTTCCTTTGAAATTAGAATGGACTTTAAAACATGACGCTACCTGCATTGATAATTTTATAACAGCATATGTATATGTGTGTTTGTTTCCCATTTCATGAAGGCAAGGCATTAGTTTACCATGGTTGAAGGTCCAGGCTGCACTTTGAAGGGGGAGAAGATCAGAGGCCGGCTGGTTGGAAAGACAGTGCGGAGCGTCTCTGGCAATGCTGTCAACAGGGTGAGCGAACAGAACTTATTTATAACATGTACTTTGGCTCACTTCTACTTATACAAATTTTGCACCCAATTTTCGGGTTTGTAGTTCAATAATTTGTAGTTTTTAAACATGTTTTTCAGTTTCTCTTGTGACTTTTTATAATTTGTAGGGTTTTCAAATTTTGAAGATAAATTTTCAGCAGGTTCTATCATCGTATTTCAAATAATTTATTTATATTAATAATGACTTTTTTACATTTATTCCCTATAAGCAGAATAAAAACAGTTCTTTGTTTATAAGGGGCAGTGGGGTAGCCTAGTGGTTAAAGCGTTGGCTCGTCACGCCGAAGACCCGGGTTCGGTTCCCCACATGGGCACAATGTGTGAAGCCCATTTCTGGTGTCCCCACGTCGTAAAACTAAACTCAGTCATTCAGTCTTTGTTTATATTTTTCATCATTTTTCAATTGTTCAGAGTCTGCACATTCACAAACTGATTTTGATTATAAGTATGGCCTAAGGAAACAGTTAGTTGTTGCATAGTATCATGTGGGCCTTGTTAAAGAATTGTGTGCCATGTTGGCTTTAGGTCAACTGTATATTCATCATAAACCCACTTATTTATTTAAAGACAAATTCAAATTAATGACTTATTAGGGTATATTATCTGTTATATTATGATATTGTACACCCCATTTCTAAGCACCATGACATCTAAACCCAAAATGTTTTGACATCACTGGAATACATGTATGTGAGGTTTTTCTGTTTTTCTTTTGTTGAGACAAAACATTCTGAATCTTAGATCAAGACAGTAGAGAATTGAAGCTGAACCGATTTAGAAAAACATCTATAGTTTACTTGATAATGGAGAATTTGTCAGATGTTGAGTGAGTGAGTATGGTTTTACGCCACTTTTAGCAATATTCCAGCAATATCACAGCGGAGAACACCAGAAATGGGCTTCACACATTGTACCCATGTGGGGAATCGAACCCGGGTCCTTGGTGTGACGAGCCAGTGCTTTAACCTCAAGGCTACCCCACCACTCCAGGTTACAGAGTGGAGTAGCAGATCTGTTTGTAATAAGACTAGATTCTACATTTGTTGAACTATGTCAGTCAACAAGTAACAGTGTGTGTTAACATTGTGATTGCTAGGATGTAAAGAAACAGAAAAAGGATGATCACATGACTAAATATGACCAGCTGATTGGTCAAAAACTGGAGGAAGTGCTGACCCTAGGAAAAGAACTGTTCATGTTTTTTGGAGACTTATGTTTAAGGTAAGATCACGTTGGATCTCGAGCAGAGTAAGTGAGTGAATATTGTTTTCCACCACTGTGAGAAAAATCTAATTGCATGGCCTGTAGATCATTGAATGTGGGTCAGATTAACCAGTGGCTAATATCATGAGCACAATATTTGGGTAAAACTGTGTTCATCGGAGCCTCATCATGATCTTAGTCAGCTGTTATAGGGTGATGGGGTAGCCTAGTGGTTAAAGCGTTGGCTCGTCACGCCGAAGACCCGGGTTCGAATCCCCACATGGGTACAATGTGTGAAGCCCATTTCTGGTGTCCCCCGCCCTGATGTTGCTGGAATATTGTTAAAAGCGGCGTAAAACCAAACTCAGTCAGTCAGTCAGCTGTTGTAATCATTCTGTCCTTGAATTCATAAGGCCTTACTACTAAAGGCAAAGGGTTTGAAATCAATGTGTGTTATGCTTAGCCTGAAATTGTTGGAAACAAATGTGGTCACATTTTGTACTGAATACAAAATGATCCTAAATAATTTTGGGTATATGTACAATGAAATTGTTCACTTGTCTTCACTTTAAAAATATATCAGCTTTTTCCGTTCAGTATGTACATCTGCTTGTTCCACAGGATCCATTTCTTGATGGCGGGGTCATTCCGTGTGAACAGTCTCCAGCTGGACAAGGACTACTCCAAGATGACCACCGTTGCCTCCCTTGAGATGGATATGGATGGGGACACTCTGGCCTTCTACAAGAGTGCAGCAGACATCAGGTGGGACCATTAATAGCATTTAGCATTATTCCACTAAATGGATTGATGTGGAGCAGTCCCCTCACACCAAACACTGGCACAGTGAATACATCTTCCCTCCACAGGGGCGGTGGGGTAGCCTAATGGTTAAAGCGTTGGCTCGTCATGCCGAAGACCCGGGCTTGAATCCCCACATGGGTACAATGTGTGAAGCCCATTTCTGGTGTCCCCCGCCCTGATGTTGCTGGAATACTGCTAAAAGCGGCGTAAAACCAAACTCAGTCAGTCAGTCTTCCCTCCACATGGAACAACCATCCAAAAGTAGCGTCTCCGACACAGGATGTCACTTCTGCTAACTAATTACTGCACTTCCCATGCTTATGTCAGATCTGAAAAGATCTGGGTTAGAATTGGTCTTAAGCAACCCAGAGGCGACTAACAGGATTGGGTGGTCAGACTCGCTGACAAATGTTATCGTATCCCAACTGAATTGATAGATGCACATGTTGTTGATCACTAGATTGTCTGACCCAGGCTCAGTCATTTACCAACTGCCACCATATAGCTTGAAAATTGCTGTGTGCAGCATTAAACAACAAACAAACAAATTTGCCTATGTCACTTCTCAGGATTGTCACTTTGGCTTCATCAACGGTTACAACATGCTCAATTTCTGTTGCCTGCTTGTCATCTTTACGAACTTTCAGTGCTAAAGGTATCTACTTCATCAAGCTGAAAAGGAAAAATCTAAAAAGGTGAATTGGCATCATTGTCAGGCTGGCTGGCTGGGTTGTTGTATTCATCCCAAAGATGTTCCATTACTTGGACCAAACGGGCATGGCAGCCCACACCAGGCAATTCTCGCTATGCGTCAGCCATAATGATTCCACTTCTTTGAGAGGCATTTTAGAAGATGTAAAGATGAAGGGACTGACTGACTGAGTTTAGTTTTACGCCGCTTTTAGCAATATTCCAGCAATATCACGGTTGGGGACACCATAAATAGGCTTCACACATTGTAGCCATGTGGGGAATCGAACCCGGTCTTCGGCATGACGAGCGCTTTTAACGCTTTAACCACTAGGCTACCCCACCGCCCCAAAGATGAAGGGTTATTGCCTTTCATTGCCGTGAATGCAACGTTTCAGTGTAGATACTAACACCGTGATCACTTGCTTGATGATGGTGTTAGTATCTACACTGAAACGTCACATTCGTTGCAATAATATGAAGCTGACTAGCCATAGAACTTAGTTTTCCATAATGATTCTACTTTATCCAAAGGGTTCAATTCAGTCAAGCCAACTAACCATATCTTTGTACCTGCTGTTTCTGTGGGAGTAAGTAAAACAGTTCCCAGACAACAATGAGAAACTTTCTGATTTTTAGGCTATCAAAGGATTGTCATGAGAAGTTTGAAGAACTCAGGGATCTTGACATTTGTTCTATTAATTTCAACCCCAAACGAGCGGTTGTTATGGTGATGGAACAGACTGACAGGATGGTGTGTGATGTCTTGTTGGATCAGCTCATTTTGCCAGGAGTGGGCAACATCATCAAGAATGAGGTGGGTGAATCCATTGTTCTCTTGGGTGGCTACCTCAAGAATGAGGTGGATGAATCCATTGTACTTAATTCCAGCGATGTCTTAAAAAATGAGGTGGGTGAATCTATTCCACTTAGTAGGGGCAATATTATCAAGAATGAGGTGGGTGAATCCATTGTACTCAGGGTGGCAACACATTATCAAGTATGAGGTGGTGGATTCCATTTTACTCAGAGGTGGCTACCTGAAGAATGAGATGGGTGATTCCATTGTACTTAGTTGGATTGATATTTATCCAACATGGATGTGTTCTCCAAGATACCCATGAGCCAGGCAATATAACTGCAGCCAGTAGTCTGTTCTGCCAGTGTAAGATGATTTAGTATGTTAATGTTTAATGTCTGTTTAATTTCCACTACTTGCCATGAGAACTGACTTAAATGAGGAATAAGTGGCTCCATGTTGTCCTACATTGACAGTCTGCACCAATGCTCTGATTATCAATCATTGGTTTGCTTGACCCAAATTTAATTTCTAACTTCATTATTGCTGACTACAGCTTTCACTCACTCACTCTACCAGTGTATGTTACAGGCCTTGTATGACAGTGGTATCAGGCCCAATACCAAGGTACGTTCTCCATCACAATCTATGTTTGCCTGTCAACCCAAACTCATTAATTCCTGGCGGCGGTGGGGTAGCCTAGTGGTTAAAGCGTTGGCTCGTCACGCCATAGACCCGGGTTCAAATCCCACATGGGTACAATGTGTGAAGCCCATTTCTGGTGTCCCCCGCCGTGATGTTGCTGGAATATTGCTTAAAGCGGCGTAAAACCAAACTCAGTCAGTCAGTCAGTCATTAATTCCTGGATCATGTTCCATATTGATAATAGTTCTGGTGATTTAATCTAGTGTTATAAAACTGATAGCTGAGTAATGAGAATAGTTTCTTGTCAATAGCGCACTGGAACTGACAAATTCAGATTCTATTTTTCTAATAAATACATTGTAATCCCAGATTGATAAACAAAATGTGAATATATATAGGTTTTCTTTGTACTTCTGAAATGTTGCACCCATGCCCAACACAAAGAATGTGTTAGTGTAAAACTGGCTGATACTGTCAACTTGCCATTGCACCCATAACTGACAGCATCACACATGTGTTCCACCCATGCATGACTCTGTCAATGTGTTATTGAAGCCTTGCCTATTTATGGCCTTTAGTAGAATATGTGTTGAATGTCCTTAATATTGATACAAATTGTTCAAGTTTTGTGCATGTTTCAATCCTTTACTGATTGTTTCCTTGCTTAATAGATCAAGAACTTGACAGAGGAACACATCTCTCTGTTGGTGAAGATGACCCGTGACTTCACCATGGTTTTCTATAAGGTAGCATTTTCATGTACTTACCTGATATTCAGTCTAATCCTTCAAATATAGTAGTTTCTAGATCTAAGGTATCGTATGGTGAAAATTAGGTTTTAAAAATCTTTAAGGAAAGCCTTATCAAACATGTCTAATCAAATTGTTGAATAACAGGTACAGAATTTGGTAGGATCTGCAATGGGGCTCAAAATTAGGAATTTCCAACTCAAAAACTCATTTTAATGAAAGCCATTATCATACCCACTCTGTGAGGTGTTTTGTCCTAATCAAATTGTTTAACAATCTGAATATTGACAGTTCACTATTTGTTACAGGGAGGAGTGCAGATGTTCGTGGAGGGCATTAATGAATAAATAACTTTGTCTGTGAACGTAACACCTGGCTGTGATATGGTACAGAGATGACAAAACTTTATGGATGATCAACTTCTTTATTTTCACAACCGCAACGTTTCGTATAGATTCTTATTCCGAATGTCACTCAAACAAATAGTGATATGGCATTATCACATGGGGTCCATTGTTTATTTGCATCATTGTTAGGGTTGTATATTCTATTTTATAAACATATTGGTGAATGTACACGACACTGTTATCATGTCACTTCTCTTGATATGACAGTGTCACTTGTAATTGGTCCTGGGACCTGCAAAGACCCAGGTTAGAATTGGTCTTCAGCAACCCATGCTTGTCGTAAGTGGCGAGTGGTGGGATTGGGTGGTCAGGCATGCTGACTTGGTTAACACATGTAATCGTATCCCAATTGCGAAGATCGATGCTAGTGATGTTGATCACTGGATTGTCTGGTCCAGACTCGATTATTTACAGACCGCCACCATAAAGATGGAGTATTGCTGAATGCGGCATTATACAACCAACCAACCAACCAACCATTGACAATGGGACCAACAGTGTCAAAGAGTAAAAGTTATTTGACAATGGCATGAAGATGGAATATTGCTGAATGCGGCGTTATACAACAAACCAACCAACCAATCATTGACAATGGGACCAACAGTGTCAAAGTGTAAAAGTTATTTGACAATGGCATGAAGATGGAATATTGCTGAATGTGGCGTTATACAACAAACCAACCAACCAATCATTGACAATGGGACCAACAGTGTCAAAGAGTAAAAGTTATTTGACAATGGCATGAAGATGGAATATTGCTGAATGCAGCGTTATACAACAAACCAACCAACCAATCATTGACAATGGGACCAACAGTGTCAAAGAGTAAAAGTTATTTGACAATGGCATGAAGATGGAATATTGCTGAATGCGGCGTTAAACAACCAACCAACCAACCAACAAAGAGTAAAAGTTATTTGACAATGGGACCAACAGTGTCAAAGAGTAAAAGTTATTTGACAATGGCATGAAGATGGAATATTGCTGAATGTTGCGTTAAACAACCAACCAACCAACCAACGGCCCTGGGACCAACAGTGTCAAAGAGTAAAAGTTATTTGACAATGGCATGAAGATGGAATATTGCTGAATGTTGCGTTAACCAACCAACCAACCAACCAACGGCCCTGGGACCAACAGTGTCAAAGAGTAAGAATTGTTTGGCAATGGTATAAGGATCTCTGCTGAATAATAGAATAAATCTCATCCCCAAAAGTATTTTTCCTTTAATGTCTGATATTGTCGAGTTGTTTCAGTGTCGCCGGGACGGTAAGCCGCTGCGGCCGTATGAGAAGGTATACCATGTGGCAAAGTGCAAGCAGTGTGGGGGAAAGATTACCACTACCAGAATGGGGGAGGACAGTGCCAGGGTCACCTACTTCTGTGACCACTGTCAGAACAATGACCTCACACGCTTCCAGAAACAGTGAGTCTCCCCAACTTGAGTAGGGGCACAGGTGGCACAGTTGTTTTAAGCACTGCAATTGGCTGTGCAGAGTTGTGTCCCCTGGACAGACAAAAATCTATTGCTGTGGGTTTGAATCCAAGTTTGCCCTGGTAATGTTTCTAAGTATGTTAGCCATACTTATTTGAATTAGCAAATGGAAAAACATCTGAGACCTGCATCACTTCAGGCTTTCTGATAGACCCTATTTAACTGGAATACTGTTCAAAATTTATTATACAGCCTCTGATTAAACCTAAGTCACTCTGGTTTCTGCTGTGGATTGTCACAAAGCATCCCTCTTATTTATCCTAGGATGAAGAAGACTGGATCGTATTTATATGCCATATTACTGAAATCTAGCCCATGACAACACATGTTCTAAGCAAGAAATATTGAGAGTTAATTTGAGCTGGTGTTAATACTGCTTTTGGCTTGGTTTTGACATGACTTGATTTTGGCTGGACTTGGCATGATGTCAGACATCAGACATGCATACTGCTTTGGTGACAAACCTAGAAAATGTGAGTAATCAGGGTGAACCAGAATTCAAACCAGAAACCTGGGTTCCAGGAGTGTTTTAGGATGAACGCTGCACGGCAAATTGGGACAATTTTGATGACTGGTCTGCCCCTTTATACAATGATTACATCAACTTGTGCCAGTATATATAGATACACATTTTCTTCAAGATAATGATTTACATCATCAGCATTAATGTACTCAATCAGGATATGACAACACATGTCAACCAGTCCGCAAACCTGACAGACCAATGTTAGTCGCCTTCCACACCAAGCAATGGTTGCTGAAAACCAATTCCAACCTGGATCTTCATGAGACTTGCAGGTGCTGGTTGTAAAAGGCAACTTAATGGAACGGAAGGTCAGACGTAAAATGGTTAGACCAACCAATCCTGTTTGTCGCCTTCACACCAAGCATAGGTAGCTGAAATCCAGTTCTAATCTGCATCTTCATGTGACTTGAAGGTGCTGGTCGTAGTAAGCAACTTAAAAGTTTGGATGTTTGACTTTGAACAAGACTGCATGTTATCATACCTTGGTCATGCTGGTGGCATGGATTCTGGCTATATCAATCACTGGATAATCTAGTTAAGACTCCAATTACAGGTCACCATTATGTTGATTGAAGTGTTTAAAGATAAACAAAAAATACTTGTACTTGGTGCCTTTGGTTTCAGGAAACTCACAACAAAGAACAGTTTATTAGGCTGGGTCAACACTGGCCATGTGCAAAAGGAAGTGAAAGACTGGGCATGCTCAGTATGTACTCTGATAAATTCAGCCAATCAAACAAACTGTTCTGTCTGTCTCACGCCCAAAAATGGCCAACCAAACTTGATGGCACAGAATCAGTGCCAACAACAAGATGGACACTCTCTTGTACCAGATCAAGCTTTGACAGCACAAACACAGAACACTGTCGTCAAAAAGTCAAAGTACACATTTAGGAAGAGATCTTTGTCGGGCCAAAACACATCAATGAATACGTCACTAACCTCCACTACTGACAATCTTGGGCAGCATTCCGAAAATACATGTCCCAAACGACAGAAATTATCGCCCATGTCACAAACTCAGATTTGTGACAGTCCAAAAGAGCACAGTTCAGGAGCTAAGCAGGGACCTCACAACAGTCTGTCCCACGTGTCAAAATGGAGTCAAGGAGGGGAGGTAACTGCTGTCCCCAGCAAGATTCCTCTCTGTCCTGGTCACAAGAGACGATGCTTCATGAAACAATGCTGGAAGGAGAATGAGAACAGAGGCAGATGGTTCTTCACCTGCAGCTTGCCACGAGCCAAGCAATGCAAGTTCTTTCAGGTAAATAGACACACGGTCTAGTCATTTCATTTTAGAAACCAAATACTGCATAATGACGTCTGCTGGTCTGTACCTTACAGAGTATGAAATTATTGCTTTTTACATGATAAATGAACTGTCCAAAAAGGCATATATCTGTATTTTAGTATAGGTTTTGTATACAGAATATTTCAGTAAACCATGCTTGTCGTAAGATGCGACTAATAGGATCGGGTGGTCAGGCTTGTTGACTTGGTTGAAACATGTCATCATATCCCAATTACGTAGATCAATGCTCAAGCTGTTGATCACTGGCTTGTCTGGTCCAGACTCGATTATTTACAGACTGCCGCCATATAGCTGGAATATTGCTGAGTGCAGCGTAAAACTAAACTAAAGTGAACTCACTATCTCAGTAGACTATCATGGAAACAAATGGCCATGTAGTTGTATCACATGTATGCATCAACTAAATTCCTTCTGTTTCCTGTCTACAGTGGGCTGACACACAGTTCCCAATATGTGAAGGTCATGGTAAGCCAAGTGCATTCCGGACTGTGATGAAAGAAGGGCCCAACAATGGCAAGAAGTTCTTTACGTGTCCTCTCAGTAAACAGAAGCAGTGTGGCTTCTTCCAGTGGGCAGATGGCTATGAGGACTGACTTGTCAGAAACAGTGGTTTCTTCCAGTGGGCTGTTGGTTATGTGAACTGACTTTGCCTGAAACAGAAGTAGGGAAACTTCTTCCAGTGGGCTGTTGGAAATGAGGACTGACTACATCATGAGCAGAATCAGGACAGGTTCGTCCAGTGGGCTGTTGGCTGTGAGGACTACTGTGATAGAAACCGAAACGATGCGGCTTCTTCCGGTGGGCTGTTGGCTATGAGGATTGACAATGTTCCAGTCATGATTCAAACAAATAAAATGTATTCCAAGTTTGTTAATAGTCTGTACCTAAACTCACGGGCAAAAAAAACGTCACCAAAATTATGTTTCATTTTTTATCATACCTTTGTATTTTTTTCAATAAAAAACGGGTTGAAACAACTTGCCCGAACACAACCAACATACACTACTCATTGAATTGCACGAGATTCATGTAATTTGTGTAAAAATGTTAAAATGTTAAAAAATCCCTTCCTAAAATGCCGTATTGAATTCAGGTATAAAATGTGTAGAGAAATGATGTATTCCATTATCACATCGTATGGTAGAAAGGAAACATGCCGAGGCTAACAGCACAGCAGAGAGAACGAGCTATTGGTATGCTGGATTTGGGGCGACGCAGTCCCATGTTGCAAGGTTTATAAATTGTTCAAAGCGAACAATCCTGAGATTGGTGAGCCGTTACAGACGGACGGATGTCACGTCTGACAGGCCTGGAAGTGGACGTCCGTGGGTCACGACCCCCCAGGAAGACCGTTATTTACGACTGCTTCACTTGAGACTGTGACGTCATCTGCCCGAACAGCTCTTGGCCATCCAGTCAGCAGAAGGACCGTTGCCAGACATCTTCGACATCATGGTATCAGAGCCTATCGACCACTGAAGGCTATGACGTCGATGCCTGAACATCGTCGTCAAAGACTGAGGTGGGCGAGAACTGTTGAGCGATGGCAGGCAAGAAAATGGTCCAGAGTGCTCTTTACTGATGAAAGCAGTTTCCAAGTGTTTAAACCAGACGGTAGACAACGGGTATACTGAAGGCAGGGAGAACGTACATGCATGACGTTGCTGCGTACAAGAGACCAGCCACTATGGTGGTGGAAGCGTGATGGTCTGGGGGGGGATTTGTGGCGACATGAAGACTGATCTTATTGTGATTCATGGTAATCTAACAGCTGCACGGTACATCAATGAAGTTTTAAGACCAGTCGTCGTGCCATTCATCCAGAATCACCCATGTACCATGTTCCAACAAGACAACGCCACACCTCACAAGGCACACATCAGTATAGACTTCCTTAATGCCTAGAATGTGACGTTACTTCCTTGGCCAGCTCGATCTCCCGACTTGTCCCCGATTGAGCACCTGTGGGACCACCTTGGAAGACAAATCAACAAGCGACAGCCACCAATACAGACAAGAGAGGCGTTGGCACAGGCCCTACAGGAAGAATGGCGGAGAATCCTGATACATGTGATCAGACGACTGACATTATCCGCTAGACGTCGTGTCCATGCTTGCATACAAGCCAGGGTTGACCACACACGATATTGACTGTATTAAACTGTCTGTCTTCACTTTAGAACCGCTTATGATGAAACAGATGGTGCTCGAATACCGGACAGTCAACTGTCCTTGATTCAATTGTACACTGGGTGATCATTCATATCTGTAGTTCACACTTTCATCATTCAGAATGTTGTAAAACCATTAATCTTCCAAATATGACAGTTACATTTCCAAAATCTGAGTTTGTTGTTTTGTGACATGTTAAAAAGGCGACGTGCTGTTTCTTTCGCCCGTTTGTTTATGTAGGTAAAACCTAGCAAAAAGACAGGTTGCAGTATTTTACTGTTCATGAGAAGTGAGGAACACATAGACTCCTAACACTGTCATATGCATTCTACTGTAGAGTTCACAGAGGTTTAATGTGACATGAATAGCAATATATTGCAAAAAAACAGTTTCAGTGGATGAAATGATTTAAAAAGGCAAGCAATTACCTCGAAATGTGCCCCGAACATAAATATCCTTTATTTTTAAATTGAAAAATATACAACACTTTGATATTCATTCAGGAAACATTCATGAAGATGAGCGATGTATTTTCTATGGATAGGCTGCTCTATATGCAAGAAAACAAGGACATTATTTCTACACATATTATGTCTTATATGCAAGGTGTTATCACATTAGGTGTTCTATATGCAGAGACAGGTGTTATCACATTAGGTGTTCTATATACGTGTTATCACATTAGTTCTATATGCAAGGACAGGTGTTATCAAATTAGGTGTTCTATATGTGTGTTATCACATTAGGTGTTCTATTTGCAAGGACAGGTGTTCTTCATAGTAGGTGTTCTATATGCAAGGACAGGTTATTACATTAGGTGTTCCATAAGCAAGGACAGGTGTTCTTCTAATTAGGTGTTCTATATCATAGCAGTATATGCAAGGATGGGTGTTCTTCACATTAGGTGTTCTATATGCAAGGATGGGTGTTCTTCACATTAGGAGTTCTATATGCAAGGATGGGTGTTCTTCACATTAGGTGTTCTATATGCAAGGATGGGTGTTCTTCACATTAGGTGTTCTATATGCTAGGACGGGTGTTCTTCACAGTAGGTGTTCTATTTTCAAATACAGGTCTTGTACCCACTAACACGAAGAAAGGTTTCCTCTGTGTGAGAAGTTGTGAATCCATGGCTCACGGATAAACAGCAAACAGGAGAGCTGGACAATATATCTTTAATGACCAATCATCCATACCACCATGAATTATATTAATGATTTTTCTTTCGACCGACATCAATGAACTCAAGACAATGTTATCATCATAAACAAAGAAAACACTAATTTTGAAAAACACAGTTTGTGAAACAAGTTAAGGCCACAACACCACAGACATTCCTTCAGTTATTTGTTTTCTGCCTGGAATTAAAACATGTTAAAACACATGTCATTCTAATGTTTGGGCGCACCATTATTTTTCAAGACGGTTGTGTTCTCTTTCCAATGTCGAACAAGCTCCATTGTAAGCTGATGCTCTTTAGAATGTTTGTCAAAATGTAAGAATGGGATGTGCTTCAGGGGAATATATCCCAAACTCTCCATTCCTTGGAAAATCATTATATACTTAACAAAAATAGTCAAGGACCACCCCAATTATCAATATTTTAGTATCGAACAGTTCATATTATGATCCATATAATACTTAGATATTGAATATTGGGGTGGTCAATAAATTGTTTTGTTGAGTATAACGAGTAAAGGCAGAGTTAGTCAAAGTTATTCCCAAGGGAACTGCTTTGGATGGAATATGTGACTGAACATTCTTAGTGGTATATACCAAGTTTCATATTTTAAACACCAATGCAGTGTGGTAAAAAACTTTCCTATTTCACACTCGTTACACTTATTACACATAGTTTTCAGCACAGAAATAGTACAAATACTCAGATCCATTTAAATACAAAGACATAGTGATATATATCACACTGTATTAAATGCCTCACTTTCAACCAGACATTGTATTGGTGACATGAATTTGACGTTGTAAAACTTGAATAAATTCAACATAAATTGTACACAAAGGTTGGTTTGGGACTGGTCATTTATTACAAAGGTGGGTGAGTCAGATGCTTTTGGTGCACCAATGTACTGAAAATAATTACACTCCCCCCAATGCTTATCAATTCTGGAGGATCCTACCCATTTTCATATAGTTTCTATGACCCTCTCTGAAAAGACAAAATGTGCAGGCACTTAACACTTTATCATTAAATGTCCTTAATCATTTCTACTTAAGGCAAATCATATTTAATGACCTTCCCATAGAGATTGTCCTAGTTTGCTGATACAGACCCCATCTCAAATCCCTCTGACCTGCTTCCCTCCCTCTTCCACCCAGTTAATGACCAGTCCCTCACATTTACTGATCCTATCATGCTGGTTTACATGTTCCCTCACAATGACAATGTACGAAAATGCAACATAGAGACGAAGATGTCCAGCTGTTGCTAAGGTGGTTTGAAGTTCTGTGTGAGCATCTTCCGGTTGAGTTCGGCCAGAATGACTGAGTACTGCAGCGCCTTCTCTGGGGGCAGGCTAGAAAACAGATCTTCTTCCGGGGACGTCCGTTGTTCTTATGGAGAAATAAAAAAGAAGAAAATTACTTCACTCTATTCCCTGTCTGTGTAAATAACTGACACCAGAATTTCAGTTTTCATGATCTTTGTTTAGCATGAATACCCCACTCAGACACATTATACGGACTCCGAGCCGAGCCGAGCCGAGCCAAGCCAAGCCGACCAGTCCTTGTGGACCAACAAGTACCATAGTTTAATGTCTTTTGGTATGGCACTGCTGGGGATCGAACCCATGACCTTATGCTCTCTGTGGTGGACGCTCTAACCACTACACCACTTAGGTAGTCTACCATAACAAGGATCTCCATGGTTTTACATTAAATGAAAGGATCTAATTATGTTCATCATAGAGGGGAAAAACAATTATTTCACTCTTGGTTCAGTATGAAAGAAAATTTCTTTCTAGCAATCTGTTCTCTCAGCATAATACCTTTAGTCAGTACTACAAAATCCAAGAGCTTTAGGTCTTTATTTGTACTTTGGACACCTTTCAAAAAACATTACAAATATTTACATTAGTATTCAGACAATTTTGATGTTCTTGCTTAATTTCAACAACTGACTTAGGCATACCATTAAAGATAACTGTTCAGCCAAAGATGAACACTGCAGCTATCAGTGTTTCAGCTTACACTTGGTCCTGGCCTGCCAATTGGCATACAACTGTTTGAAAAGTTTCCCATGAGTTTCAAAGTGTGTTAGTTCACAGATATTTATAGCCGAACATAAGTTATTTTCTCAACCCATGAAGGCACTGCATATACAAATATTATTTAAAGTAGCTTAAAGCAACCACTGAAATATGTGGAAAATGTTTTAACACAGACTCTAGAACATGGCAGCATGACTTGTAAGCAATTAGAAAAGTCATGCCAGGACATTCTTCACACTTACCCTTGGGCTTCTCCTCAGATTTGGACCTGTTCAGAGAGCCTTTAGGTCTTCCTCTTTTCTTCTTAGGACTCTCAGGCCCAGGCTAGAAACAAAAAATACATATTTAGATAAACAAAAGGTTAAGGGTAACTATCAGTGATTTATTACAAAGTCAAAACCTTTGGCTAAGCATGTGCCATTTCACGGATTTTGTACCCATGAAGGTCCGGGTTACAATATTGATCTACAGTAACCCATGCTTGTCGTAAGTGGCGACTAACAGGATTGGGTGGTCAGGCTCACTGACTTGGTTGACACACTGGATTGTCTGGTCCAGACTCGATTTACAGACCGCCCCCATATAGCTGGAATATTGCTGAGTGCGACGTAAAACTAAACTCACTCACTGATATTGTTTATGATTCATTTTGTAGATTCATAGGGAGTGTCATGATTGAAAATTTTAGTATCAATACCATGACCCTAAACAATATCACATCAGTTGAACTGGAGGATGTCAACCATTGATATATGATTTCTAGGCTGCTGGTTGAATTTGAGGATTTTAAGCAAAGTTCTACTTATCGTATGTAGTCAAACACTGGGTTTAAATCACTAGACTTAATCATACCAATTACAGACACATGTAAGTGTGGAGATAGCTATTTTAACACCATACATTAACTGGAGACCCCTAACATCAGTGAAGATTATTTCGTGAGTGAGTTAGGTTTAACACCACTGTGAACAGCACACCAGTTATATCATGCATGTCAGCTGAATGTGGAAGGAGAGTCCGAAGGGATGCAGGTCACAGAATGTTACCACTTTATGAAAGTCACACGCATGAGTATGGAGCTGACAAACCCTTAAACATAACCAGGGATCTGAACCCTCAAACAATCAGGTTTCTGGTGTAACAAAGGGACATAACCTGTCGATACTGTGCCCTGAATACATTGGATCGAGCTGAAGTAAACGGTGCAAGGTTTTGTTCTACAGGCCACATCAGTATAATGATGCCCGTAACATTCATTATGGAACAATAAATAAGATGCCAAATAAACAATAAATAAGATGTTTTCCAAATTCACAATAGAGGTTCCTTACCTCCGGTTTGCTGGCTTCTGGTTTCTTGGCCTTCTTGTTGCTATACTCCAGTTCCAGGGGATTGAAGAAGTCAGGACGGACTCGCTTTGTCCGAACCGTTCGTCTCCGCATCGGTTCTTGTTCTCCATCGCCACTGTTCCCCTCCCCATCTGGAAAACGCAGATATAATCGTTAATAGTATTTGCAAATAGATTCTGTCTGAATATCATGACGAAGAGAATACTGCTTTCTCATTTCACAAATTCCTTCTCATTTACAAATATTTCGGCTAAATACGCAATACATTTTGGAAATACACATAAGGTAAAATATGTAAAGTTAAATAGTGTAACCATGGTAACTTACTTGTTGGAGCTGTCTTTCCATCTGGTGACTTCTGAGACTGGGAAGATGCCCGTCCTCGTGTCGGGAACTGGTGCCCACAGGAACAGCCCTTGCATGCCACTGGCACCTGTAACCATGGTAACAAGACAGATATTAATAGAAACCAACACAAAGTATTAACTGAATGGTATACCAGTGGCCCATGGCTATCAAAATTCTGACTGGCTATGATATGAGGAATTAAGCTTTACTGATAGTCTGTGGTCTTTAAATTGAAGGATCAGGTTGAAGTAAGAAGTATGGCTGACAGTGATTATATACTGTAGAGAAATGTTTGCTCACACATAAACAGTGTTCAGTGTACAAATTGTGTAATGGACATCAGGACACTGCTGTATCCTCATGCTACAACCTAAAGCATGTTAAGTGTTTCTATGCTGTTTATGTGAAGTGATATTCTGCAAATAATTATTCCTGTGAAAAATTTATATAATAAGCGATAAACATTATATTGAGCATATTGAGGAAAAATGTAGATTTTCCTAGTGTCTGATCTTCCCATAAGACACAGGATGTAATTTCAGTGTACTTAAGTTTGAAATTACCTTGAAATAAACTGAAATTGCTGACTATATTCCTTTATGAGATAAGTTCACAGGACAACATGTGATCAGTATCATCAGATGTTGGAGGCTCAGTTACAAATGCAGCAAAACCATAGTCTGCAAACTAGTCTTTTAACTAGACATGGCAGAACCATGTTTCAGCCACATGGCTTAAAACAGCAAACATGTCTTTATTGGTACACAAGATATTGACCTGAAACAGTGTATGAAATAAGGCCCGGCCGACCGCCCCGAGACGGTCTAGATTTCTGACGGACGGTCAAAATTTACAGCTAGTCAGCCCGGTGGTCTGGCAATTTTTTTTAGAGTGAGTTGAGTTTAGTTTTACGTCGCACTCAGCAATATTCCAGTTATATGGTGGCGGTCTGTAAATAATTGAGTCTGGACCAGATAATCCAGTGATCAACAGCATGAGCATCGATCTGCGTAATTGGGATACGATGACATGTGTCAACCAAGTCAGTGAGCCTGACCACCAGATCCCGTCAGTGGTCTCTTATGACAAGCGTAGTCGCCTTTTGTGGCAAGCATGGGTTGCTGAAGAGCTATTCTACCCTGGATCTTCATGGGTCAAAATTCTTCTTTTAGATGTTTCATACATAGGAGTAAATACACTACTGTATATTTGGTCTGGTTAAATCCATTTCGGGCTGGTAACATTTTGAATTTACCAGTCCTGATGTCTGGCTGGATTTTTGGCTTATTTCATACACTGCGTGAAATAGTTCACTTAATTGTCCCAAAATTTTTAACTTACTAATTTTCAAAATATTTCAGTCCATATCTAAAAAACACCCCACACACTTTGTAAAATAATAATACACATTTCATAAACATATTATATACTTGATATTTAAAAATGCCTTTGGACTGCAGTTGCACGAATTAATGCACTAACAAGCAGAAATACTGGGCATGTTATTATGCAAAAAATAGTTTTAGTTTAACTTTTCCAAGTTATTAACAAACAATAACTCAATCAATTGCATTAATGCTTGTGTCAAAACGGGTATGTTCAGGAAAGTCTTCCAAACATTATCTAAAAGTTGGCAAAGATTAAATATCCTCCTTTCAGGCTCTCCATTTTGCCCAAATCTCTTTATAATTGGAGATCATGAATAGTTACTCTACTTCCCGACACTAAACGACCAAGTCGCTGCTAGGCCTAGTTATCAGCATGCTGAAATGGGGAAATCGGCGTAGTTTTTGCTTACATTGGTCTATTATTTTAGAAAACAACAACATATTTTTTCACATGAAACAAACACACAGCGAAAGCATTACCCCCGGTTTTGCAAACTTGCAACTTGCTCTTTACGAAACCTGTAAATTTTAACAATATTCAACAAAATATTGCAGATCGGTCAATTTGTTTACCTGTTGCTGGCATACTGGGCACTTTTTGACTACCGTCCTGTCGAATTTCTTTCGTACCATCTACTGATAAACAAATACGCTCATTTGCTGAGCATTTTGCAACTGAGAAACTTGCAAATTTGCTGTACAAGTCGGGGCAACTGTTGTAACAGGTCAACTTGACCCGCTTTGACGAGCACTTGTTGTTAGCGCCATCTGTAAATATGTCAGACAGGGGGAGATAAGTCTAAAGAAGCGCTTGTAAAATAGTGAAAAAGTGACCGTTCGAACCATAGTTCTTCGAGAGTAGCTATGACTGACTGACTGACTGACTGAGTTTGGTTTTACGCCGCTTTTAGCAATATTCCAGCAACATCGCGGCGGGGGACACCAGAAATGGGCTTCACACGAGAGTAGCTATGAAACATGAAGAATACTATCAGTTGACGAAGGTACTAATGTTTACTTCTAAAGTTTTCTGTAGTCTGTCAACCTTACTTTTGGCATTTATTTTAGCGATATAATTCGCCCGAGTATGTTTGAATATGATAAATATGATAGTACATGTTTGTATCTTGTAACTAGATAAATCATGAAGTTATAGAGTTTGTCATCCCAAATTTTAAATCTGTTTCCTTTATTGTTCATTGTATATGTCATGACAGGGATCGTGGATGACTGAATGTCTATCATCGTGAAGAGATTTTTTGTCAGCACGACAAACTATTGAACAATGAATAGTTAATGAGTGAGTGAGTTTAATTTTACGCCGCTATAAGCAATATTACAGCTATATGGCGGCGGTTTGTGAATAATTGAGTCTGGACCAGACAATCCAGTGATCAACGGCATGAACATCGATCTACGTAATTGGGACATGACATGTTTCAACCAAGCCAGCGAGCCTGACCACCCGATCCCGTTAGTGGTCTCTTACGACAAGCATGGGTTACTGAAGATCAATTCTAACCCGGATCTTCACGGGTCAAACAATGAGTAGATCTATGGCATGTTTTTTTATCTTATGTTGGTGGTTCATGACCCTAAGCAAAAAGAAAGAAAAGGGTCCACCTATCAAATAGGTCAGATCATTACTTTGAGTAATGGTATAAAAAACGTATTTTTTCAGGGATATATTTCTTCCACATTACCTCAACTTCAGTAGACTACGCGTTGGATATTCACAATTTCTTCTTTCTTTCTTCTAATAATAGTAACAATAACTGAACTATGTCAGTGAGTGAGTTTAGTTTTACGCTGATATTTAGAAATATTCCAGCAATATCACGGCGGGGGACACCAGAAATGGGCTTCAATCATTGTACCCATGTGGGAAATCGAACCCGGGTCTTCGGCGTGACGAGCGAACACATGAACCACTAGGCTACCCCACCGCCCCGGTTAACAACATTATGAGGCAATTGGGCACACAGGAATGTTGAACACCACCGCTCCAATTGAACTACAATGTATGTGTAACACAATGTTAAACGATAACATCTTCACGTGTTTTCAGATAGGTAACGGATGCTCTATCCTGTTTTATCCAGGGGTGGTGGGATAGCCTATAGTTCAATTCCCCACATAGGTAGAATGTGTGAAGCCCATTTCTGGTGTCCCCCGCCATAATATTGATTGAATAAACTCCATCACTGTCCTATCCTTCTTTATCCTTGCGTCAAAAGTGTTAAACTGACCCTAAATTTCGCCCTTCGACGATAATGCTATACAAATGAAGGAAGGAATTCACACAAATGTTAAACCACGACCCTAGTGGGTGACCGCTATGACGTCAGTCCTCTAACCACGTGGCACACCGGAGAATCTTCAAAAGCTGTATTTCTCACAGAAACTTTACCTTAGGGGCAGTAAGTAAACATGGATACGTGCATGGGTGGGTATTTATTAGCTGACTCAGACCCAGTATTATCTCAATGAGCGCGTGTGTATATGTATGTTTACATTTATAGACTACATTACTCCACGCCAGTACATATGCGTATAGTGAATGAAACTCTACAGATAACTGTTCGTTTATGAATACTAGTTCCGATAATTCTTTGTGTTGAGGGGCGATGGGGTAGCCTAATGGTTAAAGCGCCCGCCGTCACGCTAATGACCCGGGTTCGATTCCCCTTATGGGTACAATGTATGAAGCCCATTTCTTGTGTTTCCCGCCGTGATATTGCTGGAATATTGTTAAAAGCGGCGTAAAGTCATACTCACTCACTCACTTTCTGTTGATATTTCATGCTCATTGATGCATAACATTATATATCTTAACGATAAAATATATTATGTCGACAGAGAGATTTAATTCACATTTCTGTTTACGATAGTGTACACATTTCGTATTTTACTTTTGTTTTGCAGTTACCACCTCGTACCATATGGCTGGTATACAGTATCCACGACAGCAATATATTTAATGCAATTGTATTAATTATTAATGATACTATTTCCATAAAACTGTTACATTTCGTATGCATATATTATTTATACATGTATGTTAAGTGTGTGCGCTACTTGTATATATACATACTGATGAATAGATTTTTGTATGTTGTTGGAGCAATCCATTTACCCTTTTAATATCCGTATAAAATTTGTTCTGAAAAGATACACGGTCAGTATTAATCAGTCGCACACGCGGTGCAAACAGATTTTATCTTTAAAGGGAAGGTACATTCGGCCAAGTTGCAATCCAAGCACGCTTTAATCTGAAGAGAACAATTCAGAGGTCCAGCATCTCGCAGTTCTGTGGCTGAGACACGTCACTTAAAATACTTTGGGGGTAAAAATAGTTATACGTTTGTGAAATTTCCGGGATTCGTCAACACCCGCAAATATAGTTTACAACCGACATCATTTTCAGGTATGTCGAACACTATTCGACAAGGGTAATTAACCAATCAGATTGCCGAAAATACTTACTATTGGTTTACAATATAGTATGTTCTTCCAGTGAGGAATTACAAACGTAAAACAATGCCGATGACGAATGGAATGACTTTGCCATCATTGTTGTTATATTTGTTGATCTCTGTGAATGTGTAAGAGGGGTGTTCCGGCACAGGGGAGAAACCTAGTCACGCTTACACACTGTTCAGCTGATTCATTCTTTTAACTTTGAGATGTTTTTCAAAGCACGAAACAACTTATTGATCATTTTATTCTTGGCTAATGGAAAACGAATTCTATTACTTCTACATGTAGAAGAGTTATACAAGTGTATATTTTTTATTCCAAGCTTGACCCCGAATTAAATGCGTTTCAACGACATGCATGGAACCAGCACCAGCTACATGATATCGTTTGTATGATATGGCTCCCCGCATTTTGACACTCTCGATTTGTGGACCTGTAGAGCGTAGTTTGGTGCTAAATGTTCCTTTTGATGTCGGTAGACACGCCGTCTTTAACCTCGGTGCTGGGAACGAAATCACGATTCGTCACTGAATGAGACTGAGCGCACTTTTCTCAAGAGTCCATGCCAGAAATGTGTTGGGAGTCCATGGGAGTAAATATGCTCCCGTGGTATAACTGGAATATTGTCTTAATAGCGGCGTTCATACAAACTCACTGTTCAAATCAGCGTTAAACCCATCATTAACTCACTCACTCTTTCTCATATACGTTATGGATGGCCATTGTCGTCGTCAGGAGACCACTCACACGCACCATCCGGAGAGTACCCGCCCTCATCCACCCGAAACACATACATAGGTTATATTTATTTTTGCTCGATATTCACACGTTTTACGCCCTTTCTTTAAGTGGCGATGTACCCACAACAATACCCGACACACGATCCGGGCGTTTACGTCTTGTGTCTTCAGAGGTTGCCCATGACATGCACCGCCCGCACGTCCTACTCTGAAGTTCTCGACAGTTCTTGTACACAGGCTACGGTTTGTTGACCTCCCTGAAGACGTCAAAAATTGATTAATTTCAAACACTAGCAATTCTCTCATACACATCGACACGTTCAGCCACAGAGCTCAACACGCCGTTTTTTAGGATGTCGTTAGCTCAAGTCAGGCTGCGAGTAAAGATCATTAGCCTTTCCCACGTTCAAATATGAATGGGGGCTGTGGGGTAGCCTAGTGGATTGAAGTGTTCGCTCTTCACGCCGAAGACCTGGGTTCGATTCCCACTATGGGTACAATGTGTGAAATCCATTTCTGGTGTCCCCCGTCGTGATATTGCTGGAATATTTCTAAAAGCGGCGTAAAACCATACTCACTCGAGTATAAAGGTCTCTTACAAACTCTAGTACGTTTTGATTTATTGAAAGTTCGGGTGATCGGGGTACACGTGGTTAATGTGAGAACAGCCACCGGTCGGACAAAAGCTGTCTTAGAGATATGAGATTACGTTTTAAGTCTACGTTAAGGTACATGAGTTACGGTAATTGGAGCGCTAAATTTCGGGGACCTTGTGACTTTTTCATAAATCTGCTATGGTACAAAAAGCATTGTAAGTGAATTGACAACCATAGTGACCATGCGATTTTAACACTAAGGTGACCTTAATTCCCATACCATAACATAGACTTAAGATAGCAATGCTAAGGTGGTTTAGTACAACTGCTCCCGGGATCCATTTGCACAAAGTGATCTAAGCGCAAAGACGTTCGTATGCCTATGTTATAGTATAATAGCTACGATTGTTGTAGCGCTAAGACGGACTCCGTTGCACGAAGCGATCTTAGCGCTTTGACCGTCTTAACTTAACTCCGTAGTAATGGAGTTAAGTTAAGACTGCTTTGAGCAAATTGGTCCAAGGCCCGGAAAGAAACAATTATTGTCATAAAATATCTCTTTGCACTGGTGAGGCGAGGTGAAATTGTGTTTATTGTTGCTTTCAAAACCATTGAACTTATACAGCCACGTGCATACACATGTGTGTGCGTGCGCGCGTGCGTGAGCGTGTGTCAAGCTCTTCTAGATACCACACTGCACGTTAGCTCGGATAATTAACCAGACTCCGAGCCGACCAGTACTAAACTTATCCTTTACTACCACGGACGATATGTCCCGGCCTGGGATCGAACCGCCAACCTTCCGCACTCTGGGCTGACGCTCTATCCACTCGACCACGAAGGTGGAACTTTGTATGTAAATAACGACTGTCGTAATGCTAAAACAGACCCTCACATCACCGTCTTAGACTGACTGAGTTTGGGCTTTACGCCGCTTTTAG